ATAATGCTTTATCCAAGATGCAACCTTTCATTTTTTGCTAAACGTCCCCATTAAGGAGTTGAAGGGCCGGCCCCTAAATACTTCTTTTGCAAATATCTCAGAAACGAAAAAGAATTTCTGAATAGTTGTTGAACAAAAAGTGTTCAAAATCATGAGAGCTTTAAAGAGATATGAAGAAAAAGGGACTGGACCCTCACAATAGGGGCTGAGAGGGGCCGAAAGTCTTTGAACAATAAATCCTTAACGATCAATATTTTGTAATGCATTACTGAAGCAAAAATGTTTATCTCAACAATTTACAACTATATATTATGATATTCACATCATATGTTACATAATTAAGGGCCATAAGGGGCCAGAATGCTAAATCTTTGACACTTTATATCTCAAAAGTGAGAAATATTTTGAAAAGCAATATTTAACAAAAGATGTCCAAAATAATGTTCTAAACAGGATGCAACCTTTCATTTTTTGCTAAATGTCCCCATTAAGGAGTTGAAGGGCCGGCCCCTAAATACTTCTTTTGCGAATATCTCAGAAACGAAAAAGAATTTCTGACTAGTTGTTGAACAAAAATTGTAAAAAATCATGAGAGCTTTAAGGTAATATCAAGGAAAAGGGTCTGACCCCTTAAATAATGGACCGAGAGGGGCCAAAAGTACACAATCAATAACTCTTTAATGATCAATATTTTGTAATATATTACTGAAGCGAAATAGTTCTTCTTCACACACTTTATCTAAATAACATGATATTGATATCATATATTGCGCAACAAAGGGTCTTTAGGGGCCAGATTGCATAATCTTTGGTGCAATATGTCTCGAAAAGGAAGCATATTTTGATAAACAGTATTGAACAAAAGACATTCAAAATAATATTCTGAACAATATGCACTCTTTGAATTTTTGCTAGACGTCCCCATTTAGGACTTGAAGGGCCGGCCCTTAATATTTCTTTTGCATATATCCCGAAAACAAAAAAGAATTTCTGAATAGTTGTTGAGCAAAAAGTGTTCAAAATCATGAGAGCTTTAAGATGATATCAAGAAAAAGGGGCTGACCTCTCACATTAGGGGCCAAGAAGGGCCGAAAATCTTTAATCTATAACCCTTTAATGACCAATATTTTGTTCAACATTATTAAAGCAAAATTGTTCGTCTTAACAATTTATTTATATCATTATATTTAAACGAAAATCTCAGTCAAACTCTTATCTCATCTTATCAAAAATCGGACGGAAGACCCACTCGTTGCTCGCAACGAGATCTCATCTAGTTATTATTATTATTATTATTATTTTTCTTCCAACCGATTTTGTGCACGCGATTTCTCAAAAACGGCTGGACCGATTTACATCAAACTTTCAGATGTAAAAGATATTCTATTGATCTTGATAGGTTTTTTTGCTTTTTGATGACGTCACTTCCGGTCGTGAGATATGGACGATTTTCTGATTTTCAGAGGGTCCGCTTGTCCTGGAGTGTTCTCATAAACGAATAGAGATAAAGAGATAAGATTTTCAGTGAAGACAGAGAAAAGATTGTAGATGTGCCATTTGGCATCTATATCTTTCCAGCTTAAGAGGCGCCGAAGCTCGCCTGGGCTCAAAAAATAGGCTCACAAGCATCTCGCAAAATTTAACACATTTTCCTTTTTATCTTTTTACCTGTAAATATTTTGTTAAAACATATATTACAAAAGATGTGCAAAATGATTAGACCTTTCATATGATAGCAAGAAAAAAGGGCTAATCCCTCAAATTAGGGGCTCAAAGGGGCCAAAATATTTTCATTTATAACTCTTTAACGATCAATATTTTGATATAAATTACTGAAGCAGAAATGTTCATCTTAAGAATTTGTAACTATATGTTATAAAAATGGGATCATATATTGCGTAATAAGGGGCCAAAAGGGGCCAGAATGCTAAATCTTTGACGCTTTATATCTCGAAAAGGGGGAATATTTTGATAAGCAATACTGAACAAAAGATGGTTAGAAAAATGTTCTAAATAATATGCAACATTTCAATTTTTGTCAAACGGCCCCATTAAGGACTTGAAGGGTTGGCCCCTAAATATTTCCATTTGGCATATCTCCACAACGAAAAGAAATCTCTGAATAGTTGTTGAACAAAAAGTCTTCAAAATCACAAGACCTTTCATTTGACATCAAGAAAAAGGAGCTGATCCCTCAAATTAGGGGCTCAGAGGGGCCAAAAGTCTTTCATCTATAACTCTTTAAATATCAATATTTTGTTATCAGTTACTGAAGCAAAAATGTTCATCTTAATGATTTGTAACTATATTTTATAATATAAAGATCATATGTTGCATAATAAGGGGCCAAAAGGGGCTAGAATGCTAAATATTTGACGCTTTATATCTCAACAAGGGGAGATATTTTAAAAAGCAATATTGAACAAAAGATGTTCAGAATTATGTTCTGAACAATATGCATCCTTTCAATTTTTGCAAAACGGCCCCATTAAGGATTTGAAGGGTTGGCCCCTAAATATTTCCATTTTACATATCTCGAAAACGAGAAGAAACTTCTGAATAGTTGTTAAACAAAAAATGTTTAAAATCACAAGACCTTTCATTTGATTTCAAGAAAAAGGGGCTGACCCTTCAAATTAGGGGCTCAAGAGGGCCAAAAGTCTTTCATCTATAACGTTTTAAGTATCAATATTTTGTAATCAATCACTGAAGCAAAGATACTCATCTTAAAGATTTGCCACCATATATTATAAAATTAAGATAATATATTGCGTTAAGGGGCAAAAGGGGCCAGAATGCTAAATCTTTGACGCTTTATGTCTCGAAAAGGGGGGATATTTCGATGAGCAATATTGAACAAAAGATGGTCAGAATAATGTTTTAAACAATATGCACCCTTTCAATTTTTGTCAAACGGCCCCATTAAGAACTTGGAGGGTTGGCCCCTAAATATTTCCATTCGGCATATCTCCACAACGAAAAGAAATCTCTGAATAGTTGTTGAACAAAATGTCTTCAAAATCACAAGACCTTTCATTTGATATCAAGAAAAAAGGGCTGGTTCCTCAAATTAGGGGCTCAGAGGGGCCAAAAGTCTTACAAATATAACTCTTGAACGATCAATATTTTGTAATTAATTACTGAAGCAAAAATGTTTATCTTAACAAATTGCAACTATTTATTTTAAATTTTTGATCATATGCTACGTAATAAGGGGCCAAAAGGGACCAGAATGCTAAATCTTCGATGCTTTATATCTCATAAAGGGGGAATATTTTGATAAGCAAAATATTGAACAAAAGATGTTCAGAATAATGTTCCAAATAATATGCAACCTTTCAATTTTCACAAAACGGCTCCATTAAAGACCTGAGGGACTCGCCCCTAAATATTTCAATTCAGCATATCTCGAAAACGAAAATAAAGTTCTGAATAGTTGTTGAACAAAAAATCTTCAAAATCACAAGACCTTTCATTTGATATCAAGAAAAAAGGGCTGATCCCTTAAATTAGGGGCTCAGAGAGGCCAAAAGTCCTTCAAGTATAACTCTTGAACGATCAATATTTTGATATAAATTACTGAAGCAAAAATATTTGGACTGGTCGCTCAAACTAGAGACTCAGAGGGGCCAACAATCTCCCTTGCAGAGTTGCTTTTCGTTCCTATCTCATACACCTCTGCAATGACCTCACGTCAAGATTTTTGATATAAGATAACAAACATGACATTCTTAAGATCTTTCAAATTAAACTAATAGCTCTAGATCTACATAGTAAATATATACCTTAAAAGACCAACATTAGTACAGGAATTTAATTATAATGAATAAAAGCAAACGCACTATTCCGTGTGCTTATTACTATGATGTCTAGTTAATTTTCGATCATTACGTAATGGACGTCCATAAGTGGCCGGAATGCTAAATATTACGGCTTTTTCTTAAATGACAAATATTTTGATAAAAATTTTAAAGAAAGATGTTGAGAACCAATATTTATATAACTTCGACTTTCGAAAGCTGTTTTTTTTTAGGGAATTAAAGGACAGACTCCTTAAAATTTCTTTTATACATTTCTCAGAACCGAAAATAAATTCGTGAATAGATGTAGAACAATAGTTAACAACTATGTGAGCTTTTATTGGATAGCAAGAAAAAAAGGTTGATCAGTTAGATTTGGGCCCAAAGGGGTTGAAAATCTTTTAACTATATATAATGATAAATATTTTGATGTAAAGAACTGAGGCAAAAATGTTTCTCTCAACATTATTCAGCTACTTGTACATGTTTATATAACATGTTATATATTATTATTACTTAATAAGGGCCGGAAGGAGGCAAAATTCTTTGAAGCTTTATATCTAGTATTCTGATCATCAGTATTGAATCAAAAATGTTTCGAATATCTTAAATAATATGCAGCCTTAGGGATTTGAGGAGGTATTCCGGAAAAGGACGGTACATGCAATTTCTGAATAGTTGTTGACAAGCAATAAAGTATTCAAAAGATTTCTTTTAATTAAGAAACAAGGCTGGCCCTCAATGTTAATGCGAAGCAAGGTTAAAAGGATTTTACATACAAACATTATTTATTAAACCTAACCGCAAAAAAATATTCATCTTCACATTCTGTAACGATATTCAAGAATTTTTTTATGATTGTTTACACTTTACGTAATTAGGAAGGTCTTGGGGACCGGAAATGTAAATTTCTTGTCTTAAATATCTTAAACTAAATTATTTTTTCAAATCAGTTGATGGAAAATTTTGTTCCTTGATAGCCTCACTTCCTGTCTTGAGATATTGCAAAATTTTCTGATTTTCAGATGTTGGCTTGTCCAAGAAACGCCTTCTTTACGGATAAAGATTTTCTGGGATGAAATAATAATAATCGTTCCGACCGATTCACCGATTAAGGGAATACAAACTGCCATTGCTTCTTATTTTAAACCCAGTTACAAAGGAAAGTCTTACCACCTACAGAAGTAACAGGAACCAATTTTAGATGCATTTCTCTATGTCTGTTATGATTGTTACCATTAATGCATCATGGTAACTGTAGTATGTTGGTATTTTTTCCACTTTTGCCTGTAAAGATGTTGACAAGTATACATGGTCAAGGATAGTTCCCCCTTCTGTCGTATTGAAATCAACCATTTGCTTAAAACCTTGATTAAGCATAAAGGTCTGAATAGACCCTGAAGATCTCGCATCTTCGTTAAAGTCTCCAAGACAAACAAGAAACTTATACTGTGACCTGTAATGTGCAACCACTTTTTCAAATTGCATTAAGAACTGAGTAACATCCAAAGAATTTGGGCGATAGACAGTCAAAACTACCATATCTTTTAAAAGACACTTAACGCAAATGGCCTCCACATTCTTTACAGGAAGTGAACATACAACATTTTCCTGTCCGGTTTCGTTAATGTAGACGGCCACACCTCCACCCTTTGATGCACGCAATTGTAAAACTTGAGCATTGCTGTCATCATATGCATCTCTTCTAGCTACTTGGTGAAAATTAAATCCCTTTATTTTAAACGTACTAACATTTTGTTCAGATCTCAACCACGTCTCTGTTAGGCAGATGATATCCGCATTCCTGTATCGAATATCTTTTTGCAAATCTTCAAAATGTTTGTTGAGACTTTGAATATTGTGAAGGAAAATTGATATGCCTTGTTCAAACTTATCAAAGTTTGGAAGTGCTAATTTTGGCATCTCTTGCAAGGCTGCTTTGACTTCTGGGTCAGCGTATATCTTCTTCTGTAACGATTCCACATCGTTCGTTTCAATAAATAATCCCTCTTTTGATGTCACTCTACTCAACGCTACATATCCTTGTCCAGGAGAAAATGTCCTATCTAAATTGACTACAACCTTGTCCACTGTCATTCCTTGTACTTTGTGAGAAGTACATGCCCATGACAAGCGTAATGGAAACTGATGTCGTACTATATTTTTTGTTTTCTGTTCTAGTATTTCCTCTTGAACTCTTTCGATTAGAACAATGTTTCCATGTTTTGTTTTTTCCCCTGACTTTTTCCCAACATTGACATTGTCAAATATTACTCCTACTGCAATAACAGTGTTTGCAGCATGCTTCTGACCATACACAAAATGAGAAATGTGTCCCATTACTCCATTTACAAGACCGTCATCCACATTGCAGTTTCTGGTGAGCATGACTCTTGCACTGACCCCCATTAACAAACTGCTAGAAAGATTGTCTGTTTTGGACCTTGTAATTGGTTTGCCTCTTAAGATTAGTTTGCCTGTTGTTCGATCTTTCGTAAAGTCTTGAGCATCAATCTCAACAAGGTCTGAACAAGTCCTCCTAAGCATTGTCAAATTATAGGCATTGACTTCGTCATTTGTTGCATAGACATGGAGAACATTCTCTGGTCCCTCCCTTACACAGTCATTCAAGATGGAACTAATTTCCTCTTCCAGTGGTTGTTTTACTAGTCTTGTTCGAAGTGAATTCAGTGCTGTTGCAAATGGAATGTCTTCACGTTGTCTCATAATCTCAGTCAAGTCCACTACTTTGAACAAATCAATCCAATAATCAATAGGATAAAGAACATTGTCTTTGTACAGTCTTTCATCTTTACGCTGTTTTACAGGAGGAAGTTGGTAGAAATCTCCAACTGCAATCACTGATACTCCTCCAAATGGCTCCTTGCATTTTTTAATCTGTACAAGTCTCTCATGAACATAGTATAATAATCTTTTATACACCATTGAAATCTCATCAATAACCAAAATTTGCAGATCTCCAAGCTGAACTCTCATTTCACTAAGACTCTGTTCTTTCAACGGTTCATATGGCAGAGACATATATTTTGGCAATGAAAATAAATGATGGATCGTGTTTCCTCCAATGTTGAATGCGGCTGTTCCAGTGAAAGCTGCAAGTAGTATCGAAACACTGTCAGGAGACGTCACTTTTTTCCCTAGTATTCGTGATGCTTCGTAATGTATGGCTTTGATAAGATGACTCTTGCCTGTTCCTGCTCCACCTGTTATAAAAATATGCAGAGCATCAGTTTTTTCTCCAAAGTTTTTTTGCAAACACCATTCCCGTACTATGTAAAACACCTTCATTTGTGTTTCATTTAAACTTTGCAGGATCTGCATTGTCTCCTCCCTTGATTGTGTATTCTGTTGAACTTTGTAAAGAACATCTGAACTGCTTTCTGTTTGCATGTCGGGCAGATCTTCCGTTTCATTCAAATCAAGATCTTCATTTCTCTCGGCAGAACATTCTTGTCTCATTAACTCTGTCTCTGGACAAAGGTTTGCCCAAGCATCTTCTGGTTCTCCCAGATTTTCATAAGTTTCCTGTGCCTCTGCAATAATATCTTCATTTTGAGCATAACGTGTTCTGTTTTTGTCAACAATTGATTTCACAGGCTGCACTTTCTGCTTTTCTGTTATTCGTACATATCCATTTTCATAAAATGTTTCATAAAGCTCAAACCCAGAAGGTTTCAACTGACTATGTGTCGAGTAAGGTAAGAAGAGCTGTAGCAGACATTGATAATACTTCTCTGACATTTTCTCTGCATTGAATCTAGGATATCTTATTACAGCTGGCTTTGTACGAGTTCTTCTTTGGACAAAACCCTTTGAATTCTTCAATTCAAACACATTTTCATTTCGAGTCTTTGGAACCTGTGATTTAGCAAGTATTCTGAATTCAGAACAAAATTCTGCCAAACACATATTCTGAAACAGTGGGTCACTTGGTCGATTTTCATACCTTTCTACTACATTTGTCATCCAAATGTCATCTTCTTCATCGTCATTCTCAACATTTTCATCATTCCCCTTCCTGTGATTTCTTTTTAGTTGAGACAATGGCTTAGTTAGTCGAGTAGGATTTTCACCCACTGGTACAAACACTACCTTTCTCGAACATTCTTTCATTTTCAGATTACATACGCGATAAACAGCTTCCTGTGTGCTCACTTCTCTATGATTCAAATAAGCAGAACCAATTTTCTTTAAAGTTGTTCGTGCACATTCGTTGCCTTCTTCTGCTTCTATTTTTGTTTGTTTCAATAGCATTCCCATTTCTCTCTCAGACTTTGAAATGTATGAAATGATATAGACAATGCAACTAAATGGATCCAAAACAAACTGAATGTCCATATTGGCATCCCAACATTTTAAAAGGCATGGATTGTACTGATTGATCCAGAGTTCACATGGATTTCTTTCAAGAACAACAGTTCTTTTTTTTGCTAGTCTTTTGTGGGCTTCCTCGTACTGCGCTTGTGTCAATCCTAGATGATTGAAAATATCGTTGGTCGTTTCCGATTCATTTGCTTCATCTTGCACTTCATTCCATACTTGTAATAGAATTTCTTTAGCAATTGACTGTTGGTTTTTCAAATCAGTGGCCTCTGCATCGCTCTCTTCCTCAAGTGGAGAACTGATGAATGTACATAGAGAAGGTGGTCTAGGAAAATTAAACCTACATTCCGTTCCCTTCTTTCTACATGACTTTGAATGATTTTTGCTGTGCTGTTGTACTGCTAAGACAATATTCCTTAGCTCCAAATCTTCCTTCTCAGAGGGCACTGCACAACTAACATATTTGTTTATGAAATTACATACGGATTCCTCTCCGTCTTCCTCAAGTTTTGGTGCATTTTCTATCCAATATAAACAATGCATGTGAGGTGACCCCCTTTGTTGAAATTCAACTCTTTGGAAAAAATCGGACACCTTTCCAATTGGTTCTGATGGTGAAAATATCACTTCTGTCTGAAAAACATGGAATCTGTGCTCAAACATTCTAGCAACAGTGACAGGGTTACTTCTCAGCACCTCATTTTTTTCAGACCAGTCTAACATAGATGCCTCTCTGTTATCATTTTGTTGTTTCAATATTGTAGCGACAGCATCATTCCATCTATGTTCTGCAGCAGAGAAGGAGCAAAACCAGGTAGGTATTCCTAACTGTCGAAGCATAGCAAACAGATCCTTCTGTGCAGCTGACCAGTATGCCGGTGTTCCACGTATAGGCTGCATGAATCGCAAAGCCTCGTCACTTTTCATCAAATTGGAAAGTACTTCAGGGTTCTGTACCATATTTGCTGTCACTGTTTGGTTATTTCCTAATCTTCTGACTGATTTCCTAATTGATATCTGTGTCTTCTCTATAACTTGGTTTAAATCAGACATGTACTGACTGAAGAAAATATAATTGCTGTCTTTTGCAAATCTCATGTCTGTATTCATAAGACGATTGTTGAAGTATCTTGACAGTGTTATTCGTGTTTCTCTATTGTCATTCCATGAAAAACGCCCACTAGGGAAAAGGTATGGAAATGTTTTTGCCTCATTTCCCTCTTCCTGTAACATCCTTACTGGATTATTGCCTTCTCCTGGAGCAATGTCATAGATATCATCAAAGTAATGATCAAGTACCTCCTGACCAATATCAACAGGTTGTAAACAAGTATCTGCCACAATGTGCTGCTGATCATCACACTCTGATGGTAAATCACCAAGCTCTGATATTTCTTCACCATCTTCAATTTGTCCTTTCCAGCTTGTATCTACAGCTACATCTTCATACCATTGATTGTTCAGTTTTAAGAACTTCAATGCCTCACATATATGCTTTGGATCAACAAACTGATACTCACTGTACCCTTTATAATTTAACTTTCTCTTTAGTTTAACTCTAAGTAGAAGATCTTCTCCCGGTTTCATTGGTAAACTTGTAACTTTCTTCAAATCTGATGGTACACATACAACTGGCCCGTGGATATTTTTCTGGCCACCATGAGGGAGACTCATGACTTTCATGAAAGGTATGTGTATTGCAATTAAGTGTTTCTCAAGGCTGTTCAATTTTTTCAATTCCTTTGGAATATCTTCCAAGGCCATTTTGTTGGCTGCTGCTTCTGCTGGAAGATTGCCGCTCAAGATCTTCCGGTGACAAGTAAAACAAATCCATAACTTTGACTTAATGCAGTCCGTTGGACATGACTCTGTGCATTGGTGACAGTACTTATCCTGAATACACAGGTCTGCAATGTTTGCTGTCTGCTCAGTCTTGGCATATGTTTCTCGTTCACATCTTTGAACTTGATTCTGAAACAGGAGCCGATCACAGCAACAGCATGAATAATCAATGCCTTGCACAACCTTTTCTTTAAATTCTTTCACTACCTCTTCCTGATTTTCCAATCTAGCTCGTTGAGCATTTCTCTGACTCTTTACCATCTCCTTTTTTTGCATTTTTATTTTTGCACTGGAATCGTATTGATGTCTACTGGAATCTTTAATTTTCGACCTGAAAGATTCATCACTTTTGTACTTTTTAGCTGCAGTTTGAAGCTTTGCTTCTCGGAAATTTTCATTTTCCCTGTATCTCTTAGTACTCGCAGTATTGACTAGAATTCTGTGCATTTCATCTGTCTTGTACCTCAGTTTGCTTTTGGCCTTTACCTCTTCCCTATGTTCATCATCCATTTCATACTTTTGTTTACTTCTCCTTTTGACACTTTCCCTATGCTCTGTGTCTATTGCATATCTATCAACGCTTCTCTTCTTCACATTTTTCCTATGTTCATCATCTGTTGCATACTTGTCAATACTTCTCTTTCTGACATCTTCCCTGTGATCATCATTTGTTGCGTACTTGTCAATACTTCTCTTTCTGACATCTTCCCTGTGATCATCATCTGTTGCATACTTGTCAGTACTTCTCTTTCTGACATCTTCCCTGTGTTCATCATTTGTTGCATACTTGTCAATACTTCTCTTTCTGACATCTTCCCTGTGATCATCATCTGTTGCATACTTGTCAGTACTTCTCTTTCTGACATCTTCCCTGTGTTCATCATTTGTTGCGTACTTGTCAATACTTCTCTTTCTGACATCTTCCCTGTGATCAACTTTTGTTGCATACTTGTTAATACTTCTCTTTCTGACATCTTCCCCGTGATCAAAATCTGTTGCATACTTGTCAATACTTCTCCTTTTGACACCTTCCCTATACTCCTCATTTATTGCATATCTATCAATACCTCTCTTCTTGACATTTTCTCTGTAATCATCATCTGTTGCATACTTTAAAAAAAGTGTTTTCAGTTTCTCATCTCTAAATTCTTTATCTTCCCTATATCTCTGTCTTAAACACTCATTCTGTTTCTTGACAGCACTTAATTTTTCTGATTTCTCTGCTCTAGATTGCCTTTTCACTTGCATACGTGTTCGGTTATGGTATCGCTTTTCATACTCTTGAGAAGTTTTAAACTGTTGCTTACGGGCTAAGTCGAATTCCTCTTCATTAACAGACAGTACAACATTGTAATGGTTCTGTTGGTGGTGATTCAGATAAATTGCTCCAGTTTTGCTTTGCACACAAGGTTCTACTTCAGCAACTAAAAACCTTAACCAACATTCTCCGGAGTAAGTGTATATATCAATATTTAGAAGATGAGCTGTTGCAAATATTTCAACTTCAGTAGCCCAACTACCTTCCTGTGACATTCGTGTAGAAGACAGGTGACTTTCTACAGACTGTACACCATCTTTTAGGAATGGTTTAAATAACTCTTTGTTTCCTATTATATGCTCGCAGACAGCATTGCGTATTACATGATGGAAATCCTCCGAATTCGTAAGACTGAATGAAATAGCTCTGAAGAAGCAGTTTCCATCTCCTATTATTTCCTTTTCAAACAATGGTTCTGAAATATTAGTTCTAGAACACTGGATATCACCAAAATTTCCAATGGAAATGAATGGAATGTTCAAATTTTGACAAAGGTGTTTCCTCAAGTTTGTACTCAAGGGAATAAAGCTAAACTGGAACTGCTCATGACTAATAAAAATCAAGTCATCATCTTTATCACCTGTTTCATATGTGGTACCCCCAGAAAACTCTGACTCTTGAGATTTTTCATCAATATTTTCTTCCACCTCAAACAAATCGCTGACATTTGCGATATCACCCATCTTGCAGTAGACACCAGTCAAGTTACATTCAACGCCTTTTGTATATCCCATTGAAAAAGCAAGACCTTGAAGATGTGAATACACTTCATTTACATGCTGAAATAAAATTCTTGTGCTCCTTCCAGTCACACTTAACATTCCAACCGAACTTCTGGAATGAAAGTCAAAAGCAAAGAAACCACTTTCTGTTACTCCTATAAGCATAGTATTTCCACCAAAGCATACAAAACAGCCATCAGTGTCTGAAAGGGCAACCTGAAGTGCTTCATCTAGTGGTAGTGCATTAAACTCTGCATAGTTTATTCCATCATTTGCCATAATAACACTTGCATATGTCTGATTTGCAAGAAACTGATAAGATCGATTAAAGCATTCAAAGAATTGTGGTAATTCCTCTACAAGCAAATACCTATCACTGATTGATGAGCTTCTTTGCAAATATGTGTACAATTCATCACCTGTCATTAAAATTCTGTCCATATCCATTGTTGTCCAACTCTTTGCATTCCTAAGTTTGTGATAAGCCAATCCTGCTAAACAATTAGCAACACACTGTGTCCCAGCATTCTCTTCAAACATAGGATGAGCTTGGTGAAAAGAGCCTTGAACTGAAAAGGATATTTCATAGTTACCTTCCTTAGGTAAATTCTGCCAATACTGATCTTCATTTGTTTTATTCTTTTCCTCATCACAAACATTCTCTGAAATAGTATGTTTTTCATTGTTCTCATTCTCATTTCCATTTGTTGTCATTTCAGATTCTATATAACATTCATTCAAATTTCCTTTTGATATTCGTTCAGTTTCCTTTTTAGTATCCTTCAAAGTGCCCTCACCTTTTGATATCCTACTGGTCTCCTCCTCCCTGGAGGTATCCAGCTGCGCCTGACCTGCTGGACCAGACATATGCACTATGCCCGATCCAGGTGCCCTCGGTGGAGCACAAACCCACGCTGGGGAGTCAGGGGACGGTGCCTTGTCCTCGTTACGGACAAACAGACGACTTCCCCGAGGAGATGGCAACCTCGAGGCAAGTGAATGCATTCTCACTCGAGGCGAGGCCTGCACTCTGGCCAGGGGTTTTTCCTCTTTAGGTGGAAACCCCATCGAACCAAGTCCCGGAAAATTACCGGGAGGAGCTGACATAGCTCCATCCTCCGTCCCGCAAGGAACAGAGCACTCTGTCACTGTCTTGTCTGGTGACACATCTAGAGTTGCAGGTTTCTGTCTCTGCTGCCTCTTTCTAGCTCTCTCTCTTTCACGTTGCCTTCTACCAGTAACAGCTCTCTTTTTCTTTGCCATCTAGAAAAAATTCTTAAATTTATAAAATTCTTACCAAGCATAATTTTCAGCATCAAGTGTTAGCTAGATATTCACTACTTTTTTTTCTTTTAAGGAAATTCTATACACTATGTTATATGAGGAGAGTTGAGCATGTATAAATTGTTTTAGTTATTTTAATTACAGATTTCAGATAACTGTTTTATATAGCCAGTGAAAGTGTACATTCAAAATGAATTTCCCTAAAAGGAGGGGGACATAACTTTTATTAGTGTTCATTCCAAGGCAGATAATTCTTCCTCAAGCATATATTCATATAAACTTTTATAGGGGCCTAAATACAGTTGCATTGTTAATATTTAACTTTTGTTTATTTAAAAAATGAAACCAGTTAAGTGAATTGAAGTTACATGAATATTCTTTGTTTTGTTTGTTTGAATGTTGTTTAACGTCCCTCTCGAGAATTTTTCACTCATATGGAGACGCCACCACTTGCCGGTGGAGAGCTGCAAATTTTGTCCTATACTCGGCACTTACAGCCATTGAGCAGTGAGGGATCTTTTTCGTGCCAGCACCTACTGCGACACGGGACCTTGGTTTATACGATCTCATCCAAGGACCGGTCTCCACGTCCCACAGTGGGATTCAAACCCGCGACTGAATATTCTTTGAATTCAATAACAATGACATTCTTCTTTACTTCACGTAAAACATATGTTTTTGTAAACAGTGCATGAACACTCTCATTCTTTATGTTTACATTTTACCAGGTGCGTTCAATTTGTCAAACTCAGCACACATCTCTGAGCATGGATCGACAATACTGGTGAGCTGGCATTGCTTTCTCACATTGCTACTCTGAATTTCTGACTTATAGTTTTAAGTTTTTAATATTTTTTATTCATACACAACAAAATTTCTACTTTTCATTATTAAGGATAAAGTTAATTCTGTATAGAGCAGGGATATGCCTCAATCAAATGTGTTCTAAAATTAGTGGTTTTAAAATAAATTCTAGATAAAAAGTTTCTACGCAAACTTTTAATATTTTTCCGTGTGAAATGCTCTAGCAACATAAAAGTTATGATAATATACAGAAAACTTGAGGAAATATTAACTTCAAATCTGTGTCCAAGCCCCTTTAAGAGAAATCATCACATTGCCAAGTTTCTGAAAAGGGAAAGGTTTTAGAGAGGTGTTCCTTCCACAGAACCAGAAGTTAATGTGTACCAGTGGAGTAGGTCCTTTTACCTTCTTTTACCAACTTATTTATTCACATATCAATTAAACAAGACAAGACATATTGTTTGTTTGTTTGTTTATTGTTTAACCTCCCTCTGGAGAATTTTTCACTCATATGGACACGCCACCACTTGCCCGTGGAGAGCTACAAATTTTGACCTGTACTCGGCACTCGCCATTGAACAGTGAGGGATTTTTTTCGTGCCAGCACCTACTCCAACATGGGACCTTGGTTTATACAGTCTCATCCAGAGGACCGGTCTCCACGTCCCACTGTGGGATTCGAACCCGCAACGTAAGGATCAACTCCTTACTCCGCGACTCTAGAGCGAACGCTCTAACCACTCCGCCACGCGGGCGACCAAGACATATAGTATTTATATGTCAATTACCAATTTAAAGGGGCTTGGACAAAGATCTGAAGCTCATATTTCCTAACAAAAAATTTGTGAGCCAATGCTCACTAGTAATACCCCCACTCTGATGTGAATATATACGCTCTCATAAATCCCACTATATGGCATGCCTAAACAAACAGCGTGCTAAAATTTCAAGCATCTGCACTGAGTAGTTGCTGAGAAAACTGCAATGGAAATTGGGTGTGGACAGATGCATAGATAAATAGAAACTTGATATCAGATTTGTACAAAGTGAATCCCACCATATGGCATGCCTAGACAAAGAGTGCTAAAATTTCAAGCATCTGCCTTGAGTAGTTACTGAAAAAACTGCGACAAAAATTTGGTACAGATAGACTCATGAATAGAATCCCACCATATGGCATGCCTTTACAAAAAGTGTGCTATAATTTCAAGCATCTGCTATGAGTAGTTGCTGAGAAAACTGCAACAAAAATTTGGTACAGAAAGATGCAAGGACACAGACAGACACACAAGGGTAAAACAGTATATATCCCCCCCCCCCCTCTCCCTTGGTATAAAAATTTCAATATACTATCACGATTTATATGTTGCTAGGGCATTGCACACTAAAAAAGCGTACTCAGAAACTTCTTTTATCTGGAAATTATTCACACTACAATATCTAGGATGATTGACAAAAAGCCTTGCACTTTCATGAAGTGACCTGTATCCATAATTCCTAAGTACTAGAAATTTTGTGGTACAATAATGAAACGAGAGGTACTGTGAGCAAGCTCACAAATGATACCCCCGCTAAGAAAATATGAATTTTTTGTTCTATTGCACGTAGAGATATATTGGGTATAGTAATGAACACATAAAATATTGGGCTGGCATATAACTAAGTCAAGATCATGACAGACCTTCAGGTCATAAGCAATTTTTGTGTGAAATGTAAACTCCAAGCATCCCAACATTATGCTTCATTATAAAGATATGGATCAGACACAAATTATGAACTTTATCTGTAAGTGACCCTGAACTTGCACAAGTGACCTTGAGTCAAGGTCATCACACACACTCAGGTCATAAACAATCTATGTGTAAAATAGGGGAACTCGTCCAAGTTTATCAACAAGAAAGATATGGACCCGCCACAAATTATTAAATTTTCTTTCAGTGACCTTGAACTTGTCCAAATGTTGTTGGGTCGAGGTCATCACACACCCTCAGGTCATAAGCAATCTTTGTGAAAATGGGAACTCACCAAGTTTATCCATAAGAAAGATATGGACCGGACACGAATTATAAACTTTTTCTTTCAGTGAATTGAATTTGCCCAAATGTCATGACACACCCTCAGGTCATGAACAATAATTGTGTGAAGTAGTAGATTCTAATGTTCCTCCATAAGAAAGATATGGACCAGAGACGAATTATGCACTTTTTCCTTCGGTGACCTTGAACTTGCCCACATGACCTTATAAAAATATGAAAACTATAATCCAAAAAGTATGTTGAAGTCTGTTTTCAGTGACATTTGCAGCCTGAACAAATTAGACTTACCCAGTTAAACATTTTTAACATGTTAAACCTACACATAAACAATACATGCAACAAACCTTGTGCCCAGTTTACAAATACAGATGTACAAATTAGTGATGTTACGAAGAATGTTGTCATTAAATTCTTAAAATATCCATGATATTTCATATCATTTAACAAAGTTATTTTTTAAATAAAAATAGAAATTTAAATTGTAATCAATGCATCTGTGTCCAGGTCCCTTTAAGAAAACAAACACAATTTTTGTTCACCAATACCTGAATACTTCATGGTGATTGAACATTTTCTTGGGGGGGGGGGGGGGATATGGTAGGTACTTTATTTTGAGAATGAACTAGCTAAACTCAATCTGTACACCCATATCATGTATGTATGATAATTGTTCTCCAAATCCCCAAAAATGGTTTCTGTTAGTTTTAGAGCTGTACCTTTAGTATATCCCCTCCTCAGCTAGGAATGATAACTCAAAAATATTATTCATTTAAAAAAGTCTCAAAATAAACCTTGAAATCATGTTCATACATCTTAATATAATTCCCCGTTCTTTGAGGCTTTCAAAACAGTCTTGTAAAGAGTTGAAGTTTGTACCCACTAAATATTTAAAGAAATAAAATTTCTTTTAGTTAAGCCTTACATACCAATTCTTATAAGCCTGATATGAATAAGAAGTGTTCTGTGATGTTTTGCATTGATAGCACAAATTTTTCACACAATGTTTTATATATAACATTTGAATTAAAGAGAAGAACTGAAATCCAAGTAAGAATAACGGGAGGCCTAATGTAAAAGTTTGATTTTCTATTGTGGCCCTACCCTACCCCTGGGGGTCATGATTTGAACAAATTGAATCTACCCTACCTCAGGATGCTTCCATATAAATAGAAATAATCATGGCTTTGCTGTTCTTGAGAAGGTTTGAAAGAATTTTACAATATATATTCTTATTTAATACTTTAATTGCCCATTTTGCTTGGCCTGGCCCCAGTCCAAGGGCTTATGATTTGACCATACTCAAACTCACATCTTGTAATGAAGCTTTCACATAAGTTTTATTTTTTCTGGTCCAGTGCCTTTTCTGGCCCAGTGCTCATGGCCCATTGTTCACAATACTCAATATATGCACCAAGACTCTGCTGTTCATCATCAGATTTTACCTCTTTATGACTAAGATAAAATTTTCAACCCAAATTTCCCCCCTTCCTTAACGAGGGTGGCTTTGTTGTTTCTGAAAAGAATTTTTCCCTATAGTATTAGGTAAAATCTTATTTCAGTACCAAACTATTTTAAGGGTAATCATTAATTCAAATAATTAAAATACTCTAGATCACTATGTTTTCTGACATCTTATTCATGAGATATTTATTTTTTATTTATAAGCTAGACAAAATTTTCGTCAGCTGTGGTATATAGTCATAATAAATTTCTTTACATAATATACATGAGAATAAAACAAATCGCGAGCAGAAAGACTTGTATAATTATGCGAATATAAAGTCCCCACAAATAGAAATTGATTTACAGTACATAACTCGGGAACATCTGCAAATCAATAAGATTTAGTGTGGACTGGTACTCTTAAAACATGATGTCAATAGGCATGGGCACGATTACTTAAAAATGTAATCAATCAATAATCAAATACTTAGAGAAATTCTGTGTAATTGATTATTAATCGATTACAATCATTTTTGTCCTGTAATCGATTGTAATCAATTTCTTAAAGGAAGGTATAATCAATTAATAATCAATTACTTCCAAGTTGGAACAATGGTTATATGGATAATATACAGTTAGGGATTCTCTACCATGGAGAGTGGAGACATGGTTCCTACAATGAAGTGCTTTAAGGAA